GTTTGATGGAAGTAGTTCGGATTGCATGTGAAAACCCCACACTGTACCCCAGAAGTGCATTAATGTACATAGTTACCATTCAATTAAAAAAATAAATAAATAAACTCAAAAAAAATTAGGTAGTAGGTAAGATTATCATTCCCATTTCCAAAAAAAAAAGAGAGAAACAAAACACAGAAAGGTTTCTATCACATGCCATGATACCCAGGAAATATTTAGTACATCAAGTTTTATAAACCTAAGTATAACATAAAAGTTTTGGTGACTAATCTTCACTCTTATCTAATATGTGGACAGCTTTTCCAAATTATCTAAGAGTGGATGGTGTGCCCCAATTCCTCACTTCCTTAATTTGCAAGTTAGTGCTTCTGAAAGGGGCTTTAAGCTCTGTGGGAGTCTTAGTTTTCTCAATTAGAAATGGTGCATAATGTCTATTTTTTTTAATCTTTTCTTTCAGACCTACACATCCTTTATTTGGAATTCTATGCCATGAAAACCTTTCTGTAACAGATCAATGTGATCACCTTTTATTGCTCTAGGAACTCTGGCACCAAAAGCGTGAATAACCCAAAATAATGATGTCATCACCAAGGGATGACAAGAGTAGAACTCAAATCTCTCAGCTCCCAAGCTTGTTTTTTCCCAGAATTGTGCTCTTTCTGCTCATCTACTCTCTCTCATCTGACAGCAGCAAGTGTGAAGGAGGGCAGAGGAGAGTGGACACAAAGGAGCCCAAGACTGTGAGGTGGAGACTGTGGAGAAGGTCCTAAGGACTTGCTATTTGGCACTTTCCTTTTGCTTTGGCTCAGGAAAATGGAAGTAGCAGCAACCTCCACCCCCTGGGACCAAGAACTGGAACTAGGCACTGCCCATTGCTGTAACTCTCTCTTCCTCCTTGTAGGCCTTTCTTTCTTTTTCTTTTTTTAATTTCAGATTAATATGATGGTACAGATGATTAGGTTACATTGTTTGCATTTGTTATGCAAAGTCCAAGTTGTAGTTGAGCCCTTCACCCTAGAGGTGTGCCATATAACCCTACATTGTGCCCCTTAGGTGAAAGCTTACCTAGTCCCCTCCCTCCTCCATTCTCTCTCCTCCCTCCTCCTTCCTCCCCTCCCTTTGGTTTAATTCAATTTTTCTCTCATGTGGGCATATAGTTGTTCATAGGCTAATTTCATATTCATATTGAGTACATTGGATATTTTCTTTTCCATTCTTGTGACACTTTACAAAGGAGAACATTCTTTAATTCTATCCAGGCAAATACAAAATATGTAAAGTCTCCTGAAGAAAATAGGCATAGATGAGACATTTCTTAACTGATAGAAGCCATCTACAACATACCCATAGCCAATATCATACTGAATGGATTAAAAGAATTTCCACTTAGAGTTGAAACCAGACAAGGATACCCCCTATCTCTGCTACTATTAACATAGTGCTGGAAGTCCTAACCAATGAAATCAGGCAAGAAAAGGAGATCAAGAGTATTCACATGGGAACAAAGGAGGTCAAACTCTAGCTCTTTGCTGATGATATGATCTTATACTTAGAAAACACCAAGGACTCAACCACAACACTCCTGGAAATGATCAAAAAATATGATAATGTCTTGAGATATAAAACTAATGTATGCAAATCAGTAGCCTTTCTATATGCCAATGATGGATCTTAAACATTGATACTACTCTGTGTATTGATGGGCATTGTGTGGATGTTGTTAAAGGTTAATGAAGTGAGTAGAGACTGGTATTTTGTTCTGTCTCTCGGGTGCCTGAAAGTTCTGTTCAAAGCATAGATGGAACTCAGTATGCAAATGCCATTAAATGGACCATCACTGGGCCTCTGGAGCAACAAATGGCCCTAGGCATCCTTTGTCCTTTTCACCACTCACTATTGAAATGTTCAAGCTCACTTCTGCTTCTTCAGTAGGATCTGTAGGATCTACAGATTTCTGGGCATGGAAATGATACAAATGTCTCTGGACTTCTTTTAGGTGCAACAGTTTTGTGGGTTAACTTTGTATGTGTAGTTAGAAGAGTCTACAGAAGAGAAGTTTGGAACTCTGCACTGAGGACTCACTGTCTCTATGCTCTGTTCTCTCACTCCTGGCACCTTAAATGGCCAACCCCCCACCCCCCGCCAAATATCCCCAGAGAAGCATGAGATCTGATGCATGTCAGCTCATGTCATCCTGGAGGAAGTGCTGTAATATGGAACCAAAGGGCATGGTATTAATTTCCTATGGCTGCAATAACAAATTACTACATACTTGGTGTCTTAAAACAAAGGAAATTTATTCTTTTAATTTTGAAGGCCAGAAGTCTAAAATCAAGTTGTCAGGAGGGCTGGGCTTTCTTTGGAGTCTCTGGGGAAAGATTCTTCCTGCCTCTTCCAGCTCCCTGTGTTTATGGACACTTCTTGGCTTGTGGTCGCCATGCTCCATCTCTGCCTGCATCTCAATGTGGCCTGTTTCTTTGTATCTCTGTATCTTCTCTTCTCCTGTCTCTCATTAGGACATGTGGCATTGGATTTAGGGCCCACAAGTAATTACCAGTGATGTCATTTCCAAATTCTTAACTCAATTATATCTGTAGAAACCCTTTGTCCAAATAGCTCACATTTATAAGTTCTGGAGGTTACAACATGGACATATCTTTTTGGAGGTCACAATTCAACCTGCTACAGGCTCTGCAATGATACTGCCTGGGTGTGAATCCCAGCTGTGTAAATCTCATTGTGTTCCCACTGGAACCCCATTTCCCAACTTTGAAATAGAGGTAATAATGGTTCCTTTAGTGTGTATGAAAGTGTCTGTAAACCAGCAAGGATCAGTGTTTTTTTGCTCACTCTTACTTTATGTATTTGGTTCATCCTTGGATTCATTTCTCAGATGCAATCCACTGAAATTTCAGGTTGTTCTACTCTAATGAAGACATTGTGTTCCTGACACATCAACTGCTGAGGCCTTTCTTCATGTATCTTCCTGAAAATTTGAGCAAATCACCTGCTTAATTAAATTTTGCCTAAAACCATTTCTCTATGTAGCAAACTGTAACCTAACTTACCATGTCAATAAACCGCAAACTGTACATTCCTGTGGAAAGGATCTGAGTCTCAGCCAATCAAAGAAGCTGAACTCTCAGCCAAGTCTCAGATATGTCCAAATAGGGAAAATACCCAGATGTTACCAGTCAGACTATTCGTGAAGGTCACTTTTCTTTTTTCCTCAATAAATACTGCCCACTTTGCTGTCCCATGCGCTCATGCTACTTAGCTCTTGGCAGGTAGAGTACATTTTCTATCAGGAAAGAATACAAATTATCCATCATGGTGAATGACATACTGTAAAACACACTCTTGCAGGGTGATAGAGACACTATTCTAACCTCATGTCTTTATCCACACTTTTTAGGTAAGTATTGGCATTCTTTCTTTCTTTCTTTTTTTTTTTTTTTGAGACAGAGTATTACTCTGTTGCCCTGGGTAGAGTGCCATGGCATCATAGATCATAGCAACCTCAAATTCCTGGGTTTGAGAGCTCCTTTTGCCTTAGCCTTCCAAGTAGCTGGGACTATAGGCACCTTTTGCCTCAGCCTTCCAGGTAGTTGGGACTATAGGCACCTATCACTATGCTTGGCTAGTTTTTCTATTTTTACTACAAGTGGGGTCTTGCTCTTCCTCAGGCTGGTCTTGAACTTCTGAGCTCAAGCAGTCTACTCTTTTAGATCTCCCAGAGTCCTAAGATTACAAGCAGAAGTCACCAGGTCCAGCTTTGAAAGTATTTTTAAATGTACACACATTCCTATGTCATTGTGTTTTTGTCACTGAATTTCTGGTTCACTCCTATGAACTCAAACACAGACTACCTCCAAAATGTTTTCTTGAGTTCACAATTGCTCAATATCATTAAACTTGTGACTCTTGGTCACCATATCTACTGCTCTGAATTAGCCAGCAAACTTTGCAGCAAACTGGGCAAAGATTATTGATCCTTATCTCTTCACTATAAAATCTAATCTGCCAGCAGATGCCACAGCCTCTGTCAGTGTCTGCAACTGAAACCCTCATGCCAAGTACAGGGAGCTGATTATCATGTGAGATGACAATTTGTGGTGTGAAGGGATATCTTTCCTGAGGAGGCCTTACAGTTTTGAGATCCTTAGAAAAGCACATGAAGAGTTCGTGATAACAGATGAGGATATAGTAACAGTGACTTACCCTAAATCAGGTAAGGAAACAGAATCCTGAACTGAGAAAGGTTGTGATTGTGTTCCTCATTCATTCAGTAGAAGATCGGAGCTCTCTTCTTTCTTTCTTTCTTTTTTTTTTTTTTTTTTTGA